CGCTACAGAAGAACTCTTAGTCAATGAAATCGAATCGGCCTTGTAACTCGGCGACGTTGGTAAATTTTAAACTTTGACTTGATTATAGACTTTCAAAACAAGAGGTTCCTGGAGTGCAAGAGTCCAAGTGTCAAGTTGATGATTAGTGTCTAGAATGCGAGCAGTCTCTCTTTTTCTTCAGATTTAGTGAGAGCAATGCACGCGCGCTGGAGCGGCGAAGCCGCAAGACGCGCGAAACGAGGGCGGCAGCCCGAGAAGAAAAAAGAGAGACTGCCCGCTTAGCCAGAGCCAATGAATTAAGCGTTGGCCTCACAACGCAAAATACGATTGGCTGATTTGTGAAGCGTTGACAACAAACTGTCAACAATCGAAACCATTGACAAGTTGATGATGGCTGAAGCACTGCAAGAGAGTTTGTCACGTTTCCCGAAAAAAAAAAAACATTAGATACGGAGCAAAGAGAAACATAAGAACGTCTCATCTCTCCGGGTACGTGACGTGATCGCACAATTTAAATGCTCAAAGCCTCTCTTCACTGTCAAGGAACGCGTTAGTTCCAAAACGGTAGTCTTACTTTAGAACTTAACACAGAAAGTAGCACAGACTGGAAGACTCTTAGACTGTTTATTTTTGTAAAGCTTAAACAATAGTAATTACCAACGGATGCACTACAGGACATCGCGCTATAGAACAAAGATTCTCAAGAAAGAAATAAAAAAAAACAAAAAAACAAATCGGCGCCCAAAGAATGATCTTAAGTGACTTGCAGCGTTGGCTTAGCTTTAGTTAAGCTACAATTAGGATATGTAGAACACTGTCCCGTGAAAATTCAACATCCTTTAAACAAGAACTAGGCGACGGGTCTCTCATTCAAAACATAACGCAAAGGAAATGAATTGTTAATATAAGAGAAATAGACCAGCTTCATGACCTCTAAATGTGAGACCAGCGGCCAAAATTAAGATTTGCCCAGTCAATTAGCTTAGAATCGACTTTAACTCTATGCACTGCATAAGCTGCGCTTTAAAAAGAAAAGTAGAAAAACCTCTGTTGTTCAAGCAAACTCTAAAGTCACGTTTCACGTGCCTGGCCTGTCAACACTTCAGTTTTGACGCCAAAAAAATCACTAGACCGTGAAAGACCATTCTCTCTGGCTTTGCGGGTAGTCTCTCTTTTTTCGTGCCTCTCCCATCTCGCGCTATCAGTCACGCGCGTGGCCATTTGCGTGTCTCGCGTTTTGCTCGACGGACTACAGAAAAAAGAGAGACTGCTCGTAGTCTAATTAGTGTCAGAACCATGCAAAAATCTGCCCATGTTTTTGAGGTTGGTTTTGGCCAATTCTTTATTTTCTCTGCGAGACATCAACTTGACACTTGGACTCTTGCCCTCCAGGAGACACGTGGTATGGCGTGATTCTGTGGGTGTTGAGAGTTCTGGGGCAGAGTTTAAAATCAGAGTGCGCGGATATTTTTCATCAGAGTTTTTCTCTGGTTGTTGCGCCATACTGACGAGCCCCAAAAAGGGCGAAACAGCCGTCTATGCCTACAATCCCGCTCTGTTTTGAGTTCTTTCGGTATCGTGTTGATGTCTTGCAGAGTTAATTTTCACGTAATACTATCAGCATTGCAGTATTCTTCTTATAACACCACCCCACTCTCCCCTCCCCTCTCTGTTACAATAAGGGACAGACCGTTAGAAAAGTTCCGAGCGGGGGGGGGGGGGGGGGTGTAAGAGATGTTGTTTTGTTTTTTGATCGAATTAATTTTCTCCAAATAACATCACGTTTGAGTTTTTCTCTTCAAACCCCCCCCCCCCCCCCCCCCCCCTCCCGTCTTAGAAAAAGGGAAAACACGTTAGAAAAGTTCGGGGGGGGGGGGGGGGGGGGGGATTTAAGAGACGCACGATGATCTTGCTTCATATAATTCTTCCCTACGCAGTTTACATATATGATTTTCATATATTCAGAACATCATGTAGTTTTTCGTTAACATTTCCCTTGTATGAATTTGTTTAGGCCCTTGTATGAATTTTAGGGTTAATTGGCGTCAAGAGAGGATAAAGCTTTATCCTTTCTTGTTGGCGTGCATGAATTTTATTCACTACACGAATATTTTGTTTTTGTACTTCACCCACTCCCAGTAAGGTTCTAACGGTCCGTCCCTAATGGTGACTGGTGATAAATTTATTGACTACTTATTATGTGCAATGATGATTAATTAGTTTCATTGTCGCTTCAGGCGCTTGGTACGAAAGTGCTAAAGCATTACGAAAGATTGCAAAAGAACCATTACCAAACATTTCAAGACAGTACTTACAGACGGTGAGTTCATTTTGAATTTTTCATTTGCAGCCGCATCAATTTGACAGTAATTTCATGTAAGCTAGGGTCAATTTCATCCCTGTTACGTCCAATATTTGCAGTTAAACTGCAGTTATAGCCCCAAATGGAGAGCTTGCTCGCAGGCTACCGGGATCTGGGATCATAACCCGTGGGATCGGGTGTAAGGGGATATATAGGGATAAAGTTCCCGAAATAACGTTAAATCAATGCTTCAACACGCTAATCAGACACCTGGTAACTCCGCTTTGATTGCTATTTAATTATGAGATATTCTGAATCTTCACTGGACTGCTTTCTGCTGGACTGGTAGCCTGTATAACAAGCGCTTTATGCATTTTCCTCTCTTGGCTCATAAAGCGTCTATTATGCAGGCTACTGAACTGGCTTTTAACAAATCATAAAGATTACTTACCATAGAAATCCCTAATTTTTAATTAATCAATTAATTAATTAGCTAGGTATTGAAACCTCTTGCTTGAGGTACATGAATGGCGCATTACATACGGCACATGAACATGAAGGCACAAAGGAAACTTTTAACTCTTTTTTACAAGCAAGAAGGCCGCTTGACCTTATGGAACCAAAAAAAAAACAACATTAAGGATAACTGTTACGGCTAGTTGTTCTTCTAACGCAGTCCTGTATACTCGAGAGTGTCTTTGACCAGTTGATCTAAACTCAGCAAGAGACGTAGTAGGTTTTACCTTCAATAGAGAGATTTACAGTCACGCTTGCGGCAAACGGCAAATGTCAGATTCAAGATGAGAATTTCTAAAAGTGGAAAATGTTATGATCAAAATACTCCAAAACCATTCTTATGAATAAAACGAGCATGAAACTACTTTCTTTTTGGTAGAAGTAATGAGTTAAAGGGAAGGAATGGGGAAAGCCTGGTCACGTGGTACAAATTAACGCGACTGTAAATCTCTCTAACGTCCCTTTTCTACACCAACGAGTTTTTCTGGTATTTCGCTAGTCGTATATGGAACAAACCACCGTATTGGACAAGAACAACATGTCAAATTTCGTCCCCAAAAAAGAAACGAAAATGGGCGAGAAATTCTCCATCTTGTCCCAGTATAAGGAAATATACAATTAATTTCTCGTGACGGCACAGATTTTAAACGGTTTACAATTACGCAGAATTCCAAGATCACTATCTTCTTCGGCAGGTATTTCTTCACCTTCTTGACACTCAAATGTAAACCTGTGAAACAATAGTGCTACAAATAAGAAAACTGCTTTTTTTGCCAAACTTTTCTCCAGGGCACGTGCGTATTCCAGCTGAAAAGGGCAACATTCCATCTACTCGACGTTGTCTAACTTCGTTCAAGAAACGCTCCGGCCGAAAAGTGAACGGTTCTACCCAGTATTCAATGGCGTGATGAATAGCCCAGAGATTAACAAACACAGTAACATTCCGCAGGATGAAAAAGCCCGCAACGGTCGTGTCCCGCGTGGTCGAGTGAGGTATCGTCAGAGGGGTCTCGCTTACAATGCGTACCATCTCAGTTAAGAACGGGTCCAAATAAGGCAAGTTTGGCCTGTCTGATAACTCTGGCAATCGTTCGGCACCAACCACATTGTCCAACTCGCGATGCAACCTGGCCTGCGTATCCGGGTACTTTATGGCATAAAACAGACTCCAGAGAATTTCCGTTGAAGTAGTAATAGGACCCCTTGCACTAAGAGGTCACGTGACCAATGTTTCCTTTAAACAATGAGTTGGAATCTTGCTGATGCCAAAAATTGCTAGAGCACGTAAAAATTATCTTACACCCGAAATTTGAGAGGAAACGCATTTAAGAGAGATATTTTATGGCACTTTGATTTTTCAACAAAGTAGTATGAGTTGTATTGGGCGCCATGTCCGGCTGCAACGCAGGCTCTTATGTTGGGGGGCGGCCAAAATTACTTTTTGCTTGTATCTTGTTAAACGTTTGATCGGTTATGCTCAGATGTGCTGTAAACGTTACCACATCATCTTTTCAACAATTTCCTTGAAGTTGAAGTGCAAAACTTGTGTTCAGAAAGAGGGAATTCGTAATTTTAAAAATCACATTTTGGACACGTGACCATTTACGGATTTACCCATTTTACGAAAATGGTGCAGGTTTGAAAAACTAAATCACTATTATTTGTTTAAGATATGACCCACTAATCGGTTTTCAGAGGCAAAATCATTTAACTTTCATTTTCATAAAAACGATGTCACATGACCTCTTAGTGCAAATGGCCTATTCTAATTAATTTCTTGCAATAGCACGGATTTTAAACGGTTTACAGTTACGCAGAATTCCAAGATCACTATCTTCTTCCGCAGGTAATTCTTCACTTTCTGGACATTCAAATTTAAACCTGTGAAGTAATCGTGAAAGAAACAAGAAAACTGCTTTTTTGCCAAACCTTTCTCCAGGGCACGTGCGTATACCGGCTGAGAAAGGTAAAATTCCATGTACACCAAGCCGTCCTTCCTTGTCCAAGAAACGATCAGGCCGAAAAGTGAACGGATCTCCCCAGTATTCGAGGTCGTGATGAATAGCCCAGAGATTAACAATCACGGTTATATCCTGCGGGATATTAAAGCCTGCAAGAGACGTTTCCCGCATGGTCAAGTGTGGAATCGCCAGAGGGGTCTCGCTTACAATGCGTACCATCTCATTTAAGAACGCGTCCAAATAAGGCAAGTTTGGCCTGTCTGATAACTCTGGCAATCGTTCTGCACCAACCACATTATCCAACTCGCGATGTAGCCTGGCCTGCACATCCGGGTACTTTATAACATAAAATAGACCCCAGATAATTTGAGTTGAAGGAGTCTCCGTTCCGGCAGAGAACAAGTCAGAAGCGCTACCAAAAAAATAAATAAATAAATAAATAAATAAAATAAGAGATTAACAGTCTTAATCAAAGATTTGAACTTTAAACTCTCGATGGTAAGGAGTTATACCTCCACCACACAAAAAGTGGGGTGGGGGTGCTTCAAGCCCCAACCCACCCCTTGAGTTTTTGCTGCACTTGACATGGTAGAGCCTTAGTAACTCTCGAACCCCCCGCTAACTCGAACTTAGTCCCATTTCCCTTGGATTTGACCCCATTCATTATCAGAAAATTAGCGTAACGTTGCATTGAGAAGCGTTTTTCAATAATTACTGAACCTTTTAATTGCAATATTTTTGAACGGTTTTGCTCCTGAAGTTTATTTATATGGATTTGCAATGAAAAAAAAAAACCGTCCTACGGGCCGCAGCCGAAAAAGGACACACGCCACATGGTGGAAAGTTTTGGAATCGAGAACTTCAACTGATTTCGCTGGACAATTTTAACCTAATTCATAACTGACTCAATGTTTGTAAATTGGCAAGTACGTAAAGACTTTGTTTTTAAAAGTATTTGGACCTTCCCGCGTTTCTTTTCTTTTCTTTTCATTTTGTTTTATTTCTTTTTTTTTCCATTTTTTTAAGTGAGGCATTTTCTTAATGCTCAGCTAAAATTCTGTTGCAAGCTGATTAACGAAAAACCAAAACAACCAAAAAAGGACCGAGCTGTAAATACCCTTACTTGTGCTGTATCACTTGTTGTCCATGTGTATTTCTGAGGCGATTTGGGCTGGTTTTGCCATTCTGTCTTAACCTTCATTGTCCTGTTACAGTCAAACCAAGTCAAGCGTACCCCCCAAGATTCTATCAGTGAATTGATTATTTGAAAAATGAATCCGTTAGTCGTTCCCGTAACTGGTGTCAAATTCAAAGCGTCATTTCTGCATGCGTAATGAGCAGTGAATATTCTGAACATTTTACAAGAACTTCTCTGTATTTGGTCAGATTGGAAATCTTTGAATGGATTAAGCTTCTTAGAAGATATTTACATCAATTTCAGGAAAATGGAGCAGGTAGAAATTTCATAACTGCCTGGCGTGTGAATTCACAGCTCATTACACATACAACAATGCAGAGATCAATCTGAAATCTACAACTAGCAACGGATTCAACTTTTGAATAATAAATTCATTAATGGGTTCTTGGGGGGTACGCTTGACCTGGTTTGACTGTAATGAAGGTTAAGGACAATAAAGGTGTAGACAGAAGCCTCAGAAATACACATGGACAAGTAAGTGTATTATACCCTAAAATTCCGAAAATAAGCCCCGGGGCTCATATTTTTCAAAGGTCCTTTTTGAGGGGCTTATTTTTGGAGGGGCTTATCTACAGAGGGAAGTTTGCGTTTCAAAATCGATTGGGCTCGCCTTATATTTGGAAGTAAATTTACCGTTTTTGCTTGCCGGTTTTACTTTGTATTTGAGGTCAATTTTCCAAGTACAAGCCCCCCCGGGGGGGAGGGGGGGCTAATATTTGGAGGGGCGATTTAACGGAGGTTTTTGCGTCACCGGTTTGGGGGGCTTATATTTGGAGGAGATTATACATGGAGGGGCTTATTTTCGGAATTTTACGGTATTTCGTTTCTTTACAATAAGTTAAGATATGGCGAATTTTTTCGAATCTTCACTGTTCCCATATAAACTCTACAAATCGCTTTATTAAGCAACATTACCTAATGTTTTCATTTTTCGCAATATCCAGCGAATCCAGCGGGGAGTCGGGCCGAGAACCTGAACCAGACCCAGTCTCCACTGCTCTCGCAAAAATATTCAACTTCCGGTGAATTCGTAACCTTGGCTTGTCACGCAATCCTCCCGGCGAACGAGGCGAAGGAAAGCGTGAGAAAGCCCTAAGAAGAACGTCATAGTGGAAGCCTGGTGAATACGTAATTTACGGTACTCATACGCCAGAAAAGTTCTATATTTGTTCGTTTAAGTCGCGCTCGTAATGTCTTCTGACTATAGAACTTTAGTTGCGCTTACCTTGAAATTAAATTATTTTCTGTGAGTCCATCGCCGCCAATTTCTTTGAATTCCTTGTACATAGCTTCAACCATGGAGCTATAATTTTTCGTCTTGGAAGAAGAAACTTGTTCTTGAAATTTCCTCACGAAAATTTGATCTCGAATTTTTGCAGAATGCTTTGCATTCTCGATGCTTCGGAAAGGGATGTACTTGAAAACTGGAAATGTATTTATGATATTAGCTGCCCCGATTGACAGATTGAATACGTGTGTTGCTTGCAATAGCGCGTCTAATTCCCAGTCATTGAATTTATAATCGCCAAAAATCCACGATGAAAGACAGCCTCCTATGGATTTGCAAACAGAATCTCGAGGGTTGAATGGCTTTCTATCCTGCGAACAAAACGCCTCTTTCAGCTCTTCAATATAGAAAGGGATATTAGCTTTGTCTTCGGTCATACGCATCGCTGTCATGGCGATTTTGTGTTGCAATTTCCATCTAGGAGAGTAAGTTTGAAATGCAATGTCAGTGTTATCTCGGCCAAAAATTGCTCCAAAGAAATGAGGAGGTCGCCCAGCGAAATCTTTTGCTTTGGTCACAAGCGCTTCTTTGGCGATTTCATAGCTGTTGATGACAATCACTTTTGTGCTTCCCATCTGCACACGGAAAAGCTTCCCGTACGTCCGCGCCATGTTCGCAAAATCACGATATGGTTGATCTAGGCTAATCGACAGCAAGTTTCCCAGCACTGGAAGCGGAAACGGTCCCGGGGGAAGATGGCGGTTTTGCCAAATTGTGGACGCCACATAAATGGCCACGAGGAAAACGAACAGCCCGACAGCATCGGCGAACATCGTTCAAAAAGTCTGAAAGATCTGGACTTGTTTCTGTCTCCAACAATAGCTAAAGAGAAGGACGTGATAAGTAGCCTCCCACGGGGACGTTCTTAGTATAGGGGTTCGTCACACGTTCCCTTCCCACTAACGTCTGCTGACAGGGGCACCCAACGTCAATTTTCGGAAAACATCTGCTCGGGAGACGATTTGAGATCTAGAATTTTCGGAAAATTTGTTGTAAAATTTCTTGCTTGCCGGCCTCTCCTAGGATTTTCGAACATCTAAAAAAGGGTATAATTGCCCATTTTTATCGGATTTTTACCCTAAAAAGGTCACCTATAATTTTCGGGAGCCTTTTTTCGGGCCGAAATTTTCGAAAAGGTAAGTTTTGATTCCTATAATTTTCGGATCACTAGACTTTCAGGTAGGACTGAAACCTGAACGGATTTAAAATTTTTAGGGGATAAAAATATGCCTATATCTAGGGGATCTCAATGGGGTGGTGGCTTTTACGGTTATCGGCTAAAATTTTGGCTCTTTTTAATTGCAATAATTTTTTTCAGTTACGGTGAACAAAAAAGTTAAAAAATAATTTCTTTTGTTTCTAAGAGTTAAATATTAAATAACCTGTATTTTTTTTTTAGCAAAATAAAGGTCTTCGGGTCATCTCGGGATAAAGTATTAATAAAGCTGTTCGTTTGAAAAATTTTAACATTTGACAGATCATACTTTTTATAAAGTATTCCACTTCTAACATTATTTTACCCACAGAAATGTCAATAGTTAATTTAAAAATATACTTTAATATGTGAAAATTCAAAAGCAGACACGCGAAAGCCCAACTCAAGGCCGGGGCGCGATATTCATTATGACAGAAAATGGCCGTTTTCACACTAGAGACGGATTATTTTTGAGAGACGGGTTATCAGTTTGATGATTCGCGTCCGATAGGTAATCCCCAGAAAGAAGCCACACTTTAATTTCGCTATGGAAAAAAATAGTTCCCCGAGAGAGCGGCGGAAATGGAGCCTAGTATTGGTCAACACATCGGGCACTTCGCCTGACGTGCGTACGGAGTCCGGCAGTAGCCGGGAAATAAGTGAGTTTAGCACATTTCTTAAAATTAAAAAATCTCGGGAACAATTTCTTTTACGGTTAACTCTTTTTTACCCTATTTACGGCTAACGGTTAAAATTTTTTAATTTTTACGGCTATCGACTAAATTTTTGGCCGTTTTACGGCTATCGGTTAATCCCATTGAGACCCTCTATCTAGCGTTAAAATACTAAAATACGTTTAACAATGCAATGTTTAAGTGGTTTTGAACTATATTCTTGTTGGGTGGCCCTGTGCTGATTTGAGCGGAAAAAAACATAGACCAATCACAGCAGACTTCAAGATCTTCGAAGTGCACTTTGGACCTTGAGAAAGAGAGGTCTCATGAAAGGTGAAGACCTTACAGTTTTAGAACAAACTACACAGTTGACTCACAAGCGTTCGTACTAGAAGTATACCCTGGTTCCAGAGGTCCGTTCTCAAAATACCAAATAGACCTAATATGAAATAAACCGCGCGTGCTTAGGGTTTGATAAGGCTCCTGAGACGGACCTCTGGTCACATAAACAAGCAACCTAAATCAGTGGAGTGGGTCGCTGTTTGGTTTCTCCCACGTCCGCAGGGAATTAACGCTTTAACAGTGAACTTGATTGGCTCATCGAAGAACTTCACCCCGTGAGATAAAAAACCGGTTGCAATGTTCATAGCAAAGAATTTAATCCCGGGTTATAATTTTGTGCTATGCTTTGTTTTGCTAGGCTCAGTTTTGCAGTGTTGTTTACATTATGTCCATGATATTGAATTCTTCACGGATACTGTACCCTGGTAGTCTCCTTCGCCGCCGTTTTCAGGCTCGTCACGCAACGCTGTTTGTGGGGAGGAACGTTACGTTACGAGCCAACAAACTGCTGCGAAGGAGACTAGTGCCCTTGGTGCAAAAGGTTTTTTTTTCCCTAATTCCTGATAGTTCGCGGAACGGTTTATTTGCTAAAAAATGCAGCTGAATGAGAGAGAGTCTACTCAGTCACAATGCATTCGCTCCATAGTTGAAGCAGCTTCAGTTTAAGTTGTTCTTCGTTCTTATAATTTTGGATCTGTAAATCTTTTTCCGTGATAATTTAACCCTGCAAAGATAACTCACGAGCTGGGCCCAGCGTGATACAACATTGCAGAAAAACATTACATTCAAGGAGTACGTAAAGAAAATCGGTTAGTTATTCAGATCCAGAAGGCACTTTGAAGAAAACTAGAACCCTTATTCAGCCGTAATAAAAAGCTTCAAGCTTCAATAAACTGAGGTCAAAGAAAATGCTCTTGCATTAACGGCAAAATCCTGAATGAGCAGCATTTTGGCATGAGGATTTTGTCGTGTAGGCGCACCACCTCCCTTTACTGCTTTAAAACTGCCAAATGGAAAACGGTCGATGCAATGAACAGATTCGAGTACTGTTTTACAGTCTAGTCCTCTAAATGCAAAAGGCAAAGTTTACGGTACTCCATGCACTACGATGCATACGACGCATAGTCTACGCGCTAGAAAGAAAAGAAGGAAAACCTTTGTCAACCTGGTTCCCAGGGTTCCTCTCAAAAAGGCAACTAAAAAGGCCAGCTGAAGTTTTAACTCATGTTAACCTCAGTGGCCCTTATAACACATCCCCACTCTCCCCTCCCCTCTCTGTTACAATAAGGGACAGACCATTAGAAAAGTTACGGGGGGGGGGGGGGGGTGGGCCGCTTGATGATCTTCTTTCCTATAATTTTCCCCTCTGCAGTTCACATATTTTATGTTTTATTCTTATTCTTAATAAAAAGGAAAACACTTCCCGCTCGTGTCTCCGGGACTCCTCAACAAAACGGCTACAAAAACGCCCCCCTGAGTTTTTACCATTTTTACCCCCTGAGGCCCTTAAACACCCCCCCCCCCCCCCCCCCCCCCCTTCTTTAAAAAGGAGGGAAAACCTGTAAGAAAGTTGGGGGGGGGGGGGGGGGGGTTGAGCCGCTTGATGATCTTCCTTCATATAATTATCCACTCTGCAGTTCACATATTTTATGATTTTCATATATTCATAACTTCATGAATTTTTTTGTTAACATTTCAATTGTATGAATTTGTTTACGCCATTGTATGAATGTTAGAGTTAATTGGCATGCATGAATTTTTTTCACTACACGAATATTTTTTTGTACCTCACCCTGTAAGATTTCGAAATAAATGGTCCGTCCCTATTATGGTGACTAGTGATAAATTTACTAATTACTTATTAAGTGCAATCAGTCGATAATTAATTAGTTTCATCGTCGCTTCAGGCGCTTGGTACGAAAGTGTTAAAGCATTACAAAAGATTGCATAAGAACGATTACCAAAAATTTCAAGAGAGGACAATGCAAGTCAAGGGATCTATTATTATTTTGCCAGCTTTACTTGTACTTACAGACGGTGAGTTCATTGAATTTTTCTGTTTGCAGCCGCATCAATTTGACAGATATTTCATATTAGCTAGCATCATGAATTTCATCCCCCCCATTACTTCGAACATTTATACTGCCATTAAACGGCGAATGAACATCCAACGGGCTTTTTCTTATAATCTCGACAGCTTGTTAGTAAAAAACTAATGGTAAATACTACTAAAATCTACAGTCATGTAGAGGATTTTGATATCCGGTTTTAGAAAGATTAAGGAGATACAGTCGACTCCTTCAATTCGAACCTTCAAGGGAAATAGAAAAAAGTTCGATTTATCGAGGATAAAATTGAGTAGAAAATGATACGGAAGGGAAATGAAAATTGCTTCGAGTTAGCGGGAGTAGATCCAGAAAGGTTTTATTAGCCCAGTCTAAATATTAAGGATTAAAACAGTGACAGCCCAGACAGCCGCTTGAACAAATGTTGACCCTTAAGCCTTCATATCTATAAACAAATTCTCTCGACTTATCTTCTTAACCCGGGGGCCCCCCAGACTTCTTACATCAGTTTCGTTCGAATGATTTAAGAGAATTTCTTGAATGACTAAAGCACTTCCCTTTCAGTTTCGGCTTGTTAATGTATGTACGGATATTGTTAGGAGAAGATTGATTTTGGTTACTCTTAATAAAAAGACACCAAGATGCAATGCTTTTTAAACAAAACTTTGCCCGAACCCACCCCCCCCCCCGCCCTCATTTCCATGGACTACTAAATCTTAATATTGAGCTGAACACAGACCAACGTGTTATAATAATATCAATTAAAATTACCTTCAGAGCTGGATCGAGAAGCTTATCTTTCCTTCGATCTGAAAATATCATTCTCTTTCACTACACAGCCGTTTCTAGTGTCGTCACGCAACGCTCCTGGGGAGGGGCGTTACGTGACGACACTAAAAACGGCTGTGTAGCAGACTAACTACACAACAAAGCTGAGTCCAAAATGCGAGACTGTTTCCAAACTGTCATAGGTCACGTTTGGACAAGTACTCTGATGAAGCTTTACCATTCTACTATTTCTTTATCATTATTTTATAACTTTTTCGCTTTTTTTAGCATGGCTTTTCTGGTCAAAGAGGGAAGTTTGTTATGGAAAGTATGGTTGCTTTCAACGTCATCCGTTGTGGCAGGTTCAGATGCCACAGAAACCCATCCAGGATTGGAACACGATTTCATCTTTTTACGAGGGACAACCGCAATTCAGCTCAGCTCATTGATGATCACAATAAACATAAGCTCTCTGCTTCTCATTATAAGATTTCAAGGCGGACCATTTTTGTGATTCACGGATTTACAGGTTAGTTTTGGAACCTCTCACCCAGAAGGCCTGGGTCATAGCGTCTTAGATTCATCTTTATTTTCGAGAGATCAGCATAGCGCCAATGGCAAAACGGTGGAGCACAGGCACCCCAGGCGTAATGGATGAGTACTGAAATCTGAAGGAGTGAAATTTGTCAATAAAGCGCAAACAGGATAACTATTTACGAAGCTCACTGATATCTG